GTAGACAGACCTCGCCATCCTTGGAGGCCTTTCAAGTCTCACTCTGCGAAAGGCGATGCCTGGCACAACAAGATAAAGGGGACCCGCCAGGTTTTCCATGCCATTTGGAGGACGACAGCCACGCGGTTTAGGGTTTAGGGTTTAGGTTTAGGGAGGTGGGAACGACATGCCTGCCGAGGTCTACGCCCAAGAGTGCAAGGCAAAGAAGCAGGTCAATGAGCTCAGGCAAATGCGGCAGTTCTACCAGAAGGGCAATTCCGAGAAGACGAAGGCCTGGGTCAAGGAGCAACAGAAGAAGGAGCCTTGCTTCTTGCGCAACAAATTCGGACATTGGTCCCAGGAGCGCCCCTTGAGAAACAGAAGGGAGGCAGCCGAGCATCTCACCAAGTGCAAGTGACCTCTGTGGCGCGTCAGCTATGGGGACGCCGATGGGAGCCTCTTGCGCGATGTGGCGGAAGACATGCCTGTCCGTGATGTTGGAACTAGTGCGATTCCGAGCGAGTGCCACATTAAATTAGGGAGATGGGTCATGAAGTCTTCTGGTCTATGAGGGAATTTCGCAGCGGCCTCACCTTAGATTTGGGGTGCGTGCGCTTGGTGGCAGGGACAGGCTGGGTCAATCACCACATTCAGAGATTGAGAGGGCTGGGTCGTTGAATGCGTAGTTCCTGAGAGAGAGATCTTTCGATTCGGGGATGGGCGTGAAGTCCGGGGCGTCCGAGTCATTTTGAAGATCAGTGTGGTTCCTGGGGATTGCCCTCCTCTCTTGTCTTGTTGAAACCTGCTTGTCCTCAGTTGGGGATGGTCATCGACGCTGGGAACCACACTGTTTCCGCAAGACATCGCAAGATCAATAGATATGGTCCAGCTCAGACAGTTGGCGACCATTTTGCCTTGCCTGTTGCGGAGTTCACAGATGACATGTGACCTATTCATGAACCTTCGGTCGGATCTCAAAGCGATTCCGGTGTACATGGCCATCGCCCAGGAGGGAGCGCTGAAGTGGGGCGCGGAGTCACCATCATCCTTAAGATCCTGCGCTAGACGCGACAAGGACGTAGATTACACCACCTTGGAACTTGTTCTGAGACGACTGATCTATGATGGTCGGGCGGGAGATCTCATTGTTGATGAGGATGTTGATCGCAGCGCCCAGACTAGACGCCCCTTCCATTGCACGTGTGACACCAAGACCATTTTCATTTACCGGGTGCCGGCTCAGATATATCGAGTGTTGCGTCCCCCGTTTGCGATCGTGATCATGGTGCTGCGCTGGAACCCTTCGCTGCCGCGCCGCAGTCGAAAGGAGCCGGAGGTGGGCTCCATCAAGGCCCGCAAAAATTCCGAGCCGGCGAGAGTGCGGATGGCCTGGCCACAGTTCACTGGGGACAGGCCGAGTGGGAGTGGCGGGAGCGACTCCGAGGAAGGACCGTCCACCGCCGGACCAGCTTCGGCAGCAACTGCGGGGCCATCCAATTTTGGTGGTCATGATCATCTTGGCGTTCCTGCAGCTTGCCGCAACGCGGCAGTCCGCACCGTGTTGAAGTCTGTCAAGGGTTGCCGCAGCTGTGGACCAAGGCCATTGACAAGACAGCTCAGGTTGGACTGGTGGCGCTTGCTCCGACCCCTGCTGGAGCGGAATACCGATGGAAGCACCTCGGTGAGAAGTGGCAGAGTGCCTTCAGTCTACGTGGGCCATGACGCAGTGGATGGGCGATGATTCCTCCGGTCCTGCCTTCCAGGCGTGCTGACTAACAAGAGCAATGCTGACGACTTGACAAAGCTGTCCTGAAGGCAAGGTGGGTTTTGGCAGGCCGCATGGGCAGAGCTTTGGTGCCTGAGACTCAAGCGGGCTGTGCTGGAGCTCGGACTCAAGGAGCTCAAGCTATCGCCCGTCACTTTCGTGTGCCGTGTGAACGGCGTCTTCCATGCTTTCCTCGCCGTCCATGTGGATTCTATGCGCGAGCCGAATGCAATCGATGGATCCGACGGGTGCCAGGGCTCACGATCCCAAGTGACGAACTCACCAGAAAACCAAGGAGTATGGCAACAGCGTGAGGGATCAGGTGATGCAAGGTGAGAGACAGAGGCCGCGGGAGATTGCTAGCCGTTGGGCCCTCGTAGAGGGCACGAGCCGGAACTCCAGCCTTGACCGCGTGGCACAGATGGCGCACTTGCTTCTCCTTCACTTGCGTTCCCATTTATGGTTTAATCGTGTTGAAAACAAGTCCAACTAGACCGATAGCGTCCCCTGTCTTGGGATGCAGAACGGCTTTTGGCGATCTCGAGGTCTGCGCTTTCCATAACCTTCTCTCATCTTTGGCTGCTTCCGACTCCAGTGCTCAGTATCGTCTTTTTCTTTCATTTAATGCGTTGGGAGCCTGAAGGCCGTGGGAGACAAGGGTATCGGAGGTTTGTGGTCCTGGGCAGGACGGGTCACGGATGTGACCGCCCAGAAAATTGGGGAGGCTACAAACGTAAATGGAGAGCAGCCTCCATTTTCTACGCACCAAGAGCTGCGTGATTGCGTTCCTGTCAGATCTTCTGTTTTCTTCTTGCCCACCCGTCCCGCCCTTTTCATCATTCGATTTGCGTAACGTTTCGTGCAGCGCCGGCCTCTTTTCGCTCCGCCCTGCCCGGCAAGCATGCTCTGGACTCTTGTCACCCCCTGGCGAGTTCTTAGTGGCGTGGGCGCAGACGTGCTTCACCAGTCCCGGCCAGTCCCCGTTGCAGGTCCTGGGCAGGACGGGTCATCGATGTGACTGCCCCCTGGATTGGGGGGGCTACCAACGTAAATGGAGAGCAGCCTCCATGTTGTGCATATCAAGAGCTGCGTGATTGCGATTGAGGAAAGAAAAGGAAGAAGATCGTCAACGCAAGACATTGGCTCTGTTTTCGCCGCTCGGGATCACTTGCGTAGGGTGATGTTTAGATGTTGTTCACTCGGATCAGTGTTCATCTTTTTGGTTCTTGATTCCTCGGAGCCATCTGCGTAGGCGTGATGAGATGATGGGATTTGGTGATGAAGAAACCTCTCACAGTGTTCATCAGACTGCAGGATGCTGAGTTGCGGAGTCAGAGGTAGCGTCGGCGTGTGCGCGCATCCGGCTGCAGGTCATGAAGTTTGTGTGTGTGAGGCAGCTCGACTCAGGTTGTGTCAGGCTTCTTTCAGTTAAGCGCAGTGACTTTTTGGTTCTTTGCCCGAATTTTTATAATGTTGTTGTTGCGGTCCTGCTTGGTGTGGTGTTGTTCTTCCTCACCTGTGTCCCTTTTGATGGTTTTTGAGTTTAGTCGCATTGCTCCTGTTCATTCATAAGGATTATTGCGTCGCCTCAAGCATTAACCATTCTCCGGGGCAAAGCAAAGTGCTTGCAACTTTTGGGTCCTAATAGCCACATTGCGCCCTCGCTAACGCGAGTGCAGCCGCCTGCCTTCAGCCCAAATATGATGATGCCTTGGATCCGCGAATGATGCATGCGCTGCACATATCTTGTTGTGTTTGCTTAGGGGCAAGTTCATTGGATCATGGATCCGCGCACATTTTCCTGCGTGCCCGATTGGATCAAAGTATATCTCAGTAGTTTTTTTCTTTGCTTTCGCTTGCCAGGTAGCTCTCGTAGCTTTGTGTCGGCTAGTGCCGTGGATGACAGCAGCCGCTCACATCCTTGGAAGGAACATCAAGGGAGCAAGTCAAAAATGCCACCTGGCATGTTCTCGTGTTTGCCTGGCGTGCTGGAGAAGGGCCCTTTTTACCCTTAGCCTTTCAGCGACAATCCGCGAACCACGTGCCGCCGGTGGTCAGATTCCTTGCGCCCGGCCAAACCGTTCCCAGTCCACTGAGGTCATGGACCAGTTTCCCTTGGTGGATTCTTTTCACCTGCTCAGCAAAATGTAGGCCCTAATGTAGGCAAGGGCTTCAGCCTTGAGCCTTTGCACATTCAGTGCGTGTCATGAATGTCAGCGTCCACTACTGTCGACCGCAGTGGGCTTTGTGTGTGTGTGCAACCTGTTGTAAATACAGGAATGTGGTCATTCCCGGCAACAGGACTACTGTGACTCTACGCCGTGCAGGCTGCATTTGAAGCATCTCTTTGCTTGTTTGACGGACCAAGCTTGTGTCAGACTTTTGCCGCATGACGCAGGCATTTGAGATGCAGATCAGCAGGATCCGTGTTGAGCAACTTCCGTTTGCATTTGCTCAGCGCGCAGCTTAAGATGAAACCCTTCTATCACGGGTTCGGCTTGTTACGTTCTCAAGAAGATGTGATTTCGCTTGATTGATTTAAGCAAGGGGTCAGGACCTGTGATCACCTGTCCTGGCCAACGGAGACCAGGTGACACAGGGGTGAAAACACGTTTGCAGACCAATTCTTGGGCGCTGTCGGCGCAGCTGGATTGGTCTCACATAAATTTTTCCGAACAGCCTTTTTCCCGTACTGAGTGCAACGTTTATGAGCCAGATGATTTTGAGTGAGATCTATTCCCTGATCCGAGGAGCAAGCACAATCCGAGACAATATTTAAATAGGTTTTGTCTTGAGTTCAGAGCTTTTGCACTTGCCTCGTCAGAGTGCGTGCGTGTGTATGTGTTTGTTTTCGTTCGAATTTTTGATTTTGGTTCGATTTCTTTTCGAGCTTCTCGATTTTCATTTCGAATTTCCTGGGAGGCCTTCATGGCAGAGTATGAGCTTGCTAATTTTTTGATTTTGGTTTTTGGCAACTTTTGCAACGAAAAACATAGCCCTGTCTTGTAAAGCTTTCGTGGATGTTACTTCTTGCGCTTTCGGGTGTTCCTTCTGGAAAATGGGGCTTTGATGGCATGCCTCATTGGTAGCTCGTGTGCGACCAGGTGAAGACAATGGGTCAAGCACAGCAATGCCTCCCGACATAAGGCCCCGACCTTGATTCATATCATTCATCGAGGGTGCGGGTGGGACGGGAATGGCAGCACCCCGTATTTTAACTTTGTGGTTTTGCTTTGCCGTCGCGATTCTGAGGAAAATGTGCGAAACCATTGAGGAGACGCCTCGCTGCCATGCAAGGCTTGGTGAAGTGCTGCTGTCTTTTTTCCCGCGTGTCATGTGTCAGTCATGAACTGCACGGTACCAGTATTGACGACAGGAATCACCAAAGCGCAGATGATGAAATGCAAGGGTCTTGAGCTTGCTGACCAGTTGTCAAGCAGTTCAGCTTTCCCTCAAGTTGCGCACCTTGTGGGAAGCCCGTGGCAACGTGAGGACCATCAAATGTGCATACCGCCGTGCCTGTCGATTTCTGGACAACGACAATTACACCGTGGCTAGTCATGAACATTGACATGCTGTCTGAGTCCTGACCGATTCCGCTGGCCGTTTTGCAATGCCGCACGATATGCTCCAGGATTGGACTACACAACTGCAAGATGACAAAGCCAGGACTTGGTTGTCAAAGCCTCAGCCGGTGATCAGATTCATGGATTTGCAAGGCTTGTGCTTTGTGAGCGTGCCAGTTGCATATGCATTTGCTTGGCTTGTGAATGCTTTTTGCGCAGGCAGTCACACAAGGATTTGGCTCACATGCGGTACTACTTTGACAAAGGTGCACCAAGCAACTTTGAGTCTGAGCATGAACATTTTTTTTAAAGGCTTCTTGTTCGCTGCGTCTCGTTAAGATCGTTATTGCCGTGAAGGCGTGGGAACATTCGATGTGCTGGGCGGCAACTTTCCAACCACAGCCTTGGCTCAGAATGATGCTTGGCAGCTCGTATGTCGGAGCTTGTGGAGTTCAGAAGTGCTCCATCCTTTGCCATCCTTTGCTTCAGTGGCGAGGGGTTCGTGCCTCCTGCCAGTAGCTAAGGAAGGGGTCGACAAAAGTCAGCTCTACCGAATGGGCCGTGGTTGAATGAGCTGCTGCCCTGAGTCTTGGCCCGGCTGTGTGCTTGGCAAAAGGCTGCTTGCATTGAATTCCAGTTTGCAATCTTAGGCTTACGTCCGGCTTGCGCCTTTGCAAACGCATTGTGTGCTCGCAAGTGTTTTCCAGACGAGGGCGCCAATAGAAATACACTAGAAGCTAGTTTCCGGAACACGATGTCTTGGGTTTTATTGAGGTAGAACTTACTTAAATCTTGATCGTGCTCTCTTAATGCTTGACTAACACAGGGCTGCGTTAGCATCGACGCATGCCTGTTGCCTCGCTGGGAAAATGCTCTCTGTGCATGGAACTTTGCTTGGCCAAAGATGGATATGTTGCCTGCAGTGCAGCCAGGCATGCCCCAAGCTGCCCAAATTTCTTATCCTAGAACAGCTCCATGGATGTTTGTTGCTCGACGTCAAAAGTGATCCTAGCACAGCAGGACTGCAACATCAGCTTATTGTGCCGGGAACCATGCTTTTTGCGTTGGCACGTGATGCTGCGCACCTCTAGCCCGAGTTCTTCCAGACAGCACAGTTCCCGCAAGCATTGTTCAGCACAAACCCGCACCAACCCGGATCGATTTGCAGATCCACAAGCATGGGATGCATTTTCGCCTCTCGGTGGCACATCAGACGCCAGGCTGCATGATTTGTAGGTGGAAGCAAATGATTACTGAACGTACTCAATGTGCACTGCCTGAACTTCATACAACGCTGCCAGGCACGGAGCGAACAGAGCAAACGCTGTTCACCGTCTGACGGTCAACTCGTCCGATGGAAGCATTAGGCTGTCTGGGCAAGGGGGGAGGGGACACAGGCGACACAGCAGGGTTGATTTCAGTGCTGGGCCAGGTATGGAGGACCAAGAAGAGAGGGAGCACATGCTGCGTGAACTATCACGCCGCTTTGAGAAGGTCTGCCTGCAGGTTGGCTGATGAAGTTTTATAGCCAAGTTTCAAAACAGGTCTTGTCGGCCGACAGGGAAATTGTCCACCAGATCAGCGAGGAAATGGCAAGCCTGGAAAAGGAGCACCTGAAACTGGTGGGCCATGCTCAAACCAGTTGATTGCTGGGTCCTGAAAAGGAGTTGGCACGGATCGAAGAGACCACTCTCCAGGCACAGGATGGGTACCAAAAAACAGAGCCTTGGAGTCGAACTGCTTGCTCAAGGCAGATCATCGGTTCGTGCAGGACTCACAGACGAGTGACACTTGGCGGAAGGTACAAGTAGGCGATTCAAGGATTGAAAGTGCTAGAGTAAGCAGAGATTTTTTACAACCAACCCTAGGTTTCAGAGTTGCAGGTGTTGTATCTGTGGACATCCAGCTTTGTGGAGAAGCTCTTGGGTTTTGGAGACAACTTCTGAGTCTACCTTGACATGCAGCATCGACAGCACATTTCAGTGTACCATCTCCAGACCTGCACTGCAAACTTCAAAAAACATTTTCAAGAGCAGCACCAACAGTTCCTCGCGACACTTTCCTGGCAAACCCTGAGAGGCACAGTATGCAACACATTGCAACACAGCCCTTACACGAACAACGCAGCTTCTGAAGGGAACAAGCTCTACTCCTAGGATGCAGAAGTGGGTGTGGTGGCACAAGCAATGTGTGATTCCAAAGTGTGGGCAAGTCCCACATTGAGGATGTGGCACTCTGGCAAGAGCAGAGATTTGCGACAGTGATCACACAAAACCACCATATAATAACCCATGCAAAATCGAGCACTTCCCTGAGCAGGGATTGTGGTTAAATACGGAACTCAACAAAGGCCTTCACTCCGCAGCATGTGACGTAACAGCTGAGCCAACATTTCTGTGCAGGAAATAACAGCTGTGAGTGAAGACTAACAGCATGACTCACAAGAGCGGGTGCTCCGTTTGTAGCAGGGAGGTGCTGGAAAGGTAGATCGGAGTGTAGATTCAAACCTTGCAGCAGTCATCATCAGCCACATGCAGCCATTGTCAGCATCAGGATCGACTGGCAGAAGAAGCCAAGCAGCTGGAGCACAAAGTGGTGGGTTGCTTATGTCGAAGCAGATTTGATTTGGAACCTGCATTCTTGAAGGCTGAAGCTCAAGGACGTCTTCTGGAGCTGAGGGATGAATGCCGGGCTATGAATCTCGTACCTTGGCGCTTCTTTTTGAGAAGTCTGTGCAGCATGGCTTCACGCAAGCAAGGAGAGCCTTTCCTTGCGAAAAGATCGGAATCATCTCGTGGAGGACCTGTCTTCAGTTGTGGCAAACTATGCAAACAGAGCGGCTTGCCATTCCCACATTTCCTTCCAGCAACGAGGAACGATCACTGAATGTTCAATTTTTGTTGCAAGCATGCGAAGAAGTGACAGCAGTGCACTTGTAACGAAGTACCAGGGAAGACTGCAGTACGACCGTGCGTGTTTACTAAACTCTTCTACTGGTCAATTGATTTTCCAAACCTCAACTGGTTTGATGTTCACCGTTTTGATTTCAAGCCCCTGCTTGAGTGGAAATGCACGGGACACCAAGAAACCCTATGCGGTGCAGCCATCTACCGCCACCTCGAGGCGCTAGGCTTCGGGATCAGAGAATTCGCTACATTGATTATGGAAGATAGCAAAGAAGTCCCTGGGGCTTTCAAGCTAAATACCCTCAACTCGGAATTGCTAAAATTGCTAAAAGCAATGAGGTCACGATTGTCTGGATCCAGGATGCCACGCATGAAGCTAGCTTGCCGGAACGCCTACAAGGTGTCTTTGTTAGCTACTTAGAGTGGCAAATGTTAGCGCTGGCTACGAGCATAGCCCGCGTCGAGCCATCAGGACCATGGCTGGATACAAGATTCCAAGATGATACAAGGCATTACAAGGCCCTGCGCATGGACCTCCATGGCAAGGGGCTGGCACGAGAGGTGATGCTCTAGGCATTGCTGGCTGTGTATCAGCTTGCAAGAGACACGTCCTGAGATATCCGTCCCCCACGTGACAGGTGCAATGGATGTTTCGAGGGTTGGGAGGCCGGGAGGGTGTCAGAAAGAACAAGGAATCGCTCTCCACTGTTGGCTTTTGTCCCCGGCTCCTTGCCCACCTCCCTCCTCTTCTCCTCTTCCCGACGTTGCTCTGGTCCTCCCTCGCTTGCTCCTCAGCTCCTCCCTCCTATCCTCGCATGTCGCTCATGTCTCCTGCTGTGTTTGTCTTCCACCGTTGCGCTTTTCACTGGGTTCAGTCCTCTTTCGTTTTCGGTTGGTCTCCGATACCCCGCGTGCGCTCGGCGCAACTAGACGAGAACCCTGCCCCAGAAGGGTCTGTGGCAGAAAAACGATACTTGCTGGCAGGAAGCACAGGGGAGCCCGGGCTTTCTTCCAAGCTCAGCTCTGCTAAAGGGACAGGATGGGTTATGGGGCTTCGTTTTGCTTGTAAAAATTGAAATTCAGGAATTTTGGGCCTTCGCAGTTCGATACGCCTTCAACGACAATTGAAGCGGTAGGCGCAATCCGTTGATTGAAAACTGACGTCCAACATGCTGCAGTCTTGGGCTGTGCTGAGCTGCCCTGCAACCGCCTGATTTTGCTGGCAGCCTTCGGATCCGTCTTCAACAGAATCCATTTTTTATTCTGCATGTCGGCCTGACATTTCTTCGCCCAATCCTTCCCAAATCAAGGCCACAGAGCAATAATGGCCCTTCACAGCAGAGGTGGGTGGACCCTGGCTTACTCTTTCAACTCAAGGATTATGGCCGAAGTGGAGTACTTGTTGAAGGGCACAAGGATCAGGGCTCTTGAGGGACTTCGTCATTCTTGAAGGGTGGCAGCGGTGAAAACTCTCAGGCTTTAAGCTTTGGAAGCGCGAATGATTTTGTCTTTTACGTAGCTTACACCAAACAAAACTCACGGAATCTCCTTAACGAAGGTGTGCTCGTCAGCGCTGCCCTAACGCGGTGCGTCGGACAAATTGGGGGATGAGGTGTTTTAGCAAGCCTGGCAGACTCTTCGAAGCTTCGCTGAGTTGTTTTTAACTACCGGTCTTCTCACCTACTGCGCTGCGCGTATCCCTATGTTCGTTACTGCCTCAACATGCACTTCAAGCCTCATTCCTGATGAGCCAATAGATGGTGTTCCGACTGGCTAGAAAGACCTTAAGGTGTGGTCCTTGATTTCATGTATTTCCGGCTATTCTCATCTCCAAATTTCGGCGTCTGCACAACAGAAAACCTTGTATACTGCTGTCCAAGTGCCAGCCACACATCGCACAACAAGCCGACCTGCCTACAGCCATCAAAAAAGATGCGGCAAGCGTATTTGCAGAAGCGCGTGCAACTTGAGCAAGCTCACGTAGCTGGCAGGAGCTTGGATTCTTGCAGCGCTCCCTTGATGATGAAATGCACACGCTGCACTCTCTCGAGCAGATGAATGGCAGCTTCCAGGCAGGTTTTCAACTGAATCCTGCACTCTTTCGGTTGTTCAGTGCCGAGGCCTTTCAAGCTGACATGGTGCCCTGTCTGGATAATGCTGCACATTGTGCTGCCAAGTGTTGCCTCGTTCAGTGCCATTTGAGGAAGCAAATGCAGAGCTTCTTCTCCACCAGCGGAAGGAATTGATCAGCCAGGTGAGCAAGGACTTGATTCATGATGAATACTCTCATGCGCGGCTTCTTCTTGTCGGAAATGCCTCCAGAGACTTCCTGGGGGCTTCCTGCTTGATAGCTGCGAGGAGCGTGAGCTGTCACGACAAGATGCCCGGCAGAACAGCGAGCTCAGGAATCTGCTGGAACGCAGGAGAGCACTTTACTGCTCCATAACGAGACTATAGCGCATCACAGTGTTCCAAGGGGTCCCTGCTGCGAACTCGAACCCTCGAACCCGTCAAAAGGAAAGACAACTTTCCAAGAGGATAGTCACAGACCAGATCCCTCATCAGTTGGTGTTGCTGTCCAGACCATCCCCATGCGCTGCTTCCGCATGACACACGCGCACACACACACACACGCACGCATCACATCAAAATGCGTTCCGCTGCAGGTGGCCTTTGGCCTGCAAGGGCAGAGGCCAGGCCAGGGAGCACAGCATAGCACAGCGTTGGCGAGTCAACACTGAAGCGCAAACACGATGATCCTCAGCCACGGCCTTCGAGGGGTACTTTCTTTTCATTTCTGAGGCCAACATCAACCTAGCATTCTTCACAACATCAGGTACACTAGTGGTTGGCAACCGCAGCGTTTCAGCAGGTCGCATGCGGAAAGTGTTTGATGCAAAAAAGGTTTTACAGTGAAGTACGTTTCTAAACAGTGTACTAGAAAGGCATGCCCCAAATCACCTGCAATTTACGCTATTCTGGCATTCGTAACGCTCGATCTGCTGCGCTTTACAATGAACTGTGATTCGTGGTGTAACGGTGCTCTTTTGGAAAATGTTTTTGCTTCATTTGGCGTTGGCGCGGGCAGCCAGCTACTTGCCCATAGACCATAGGTCAGGGCCGCTGTTTTGCTGGTAGGCAACACTTTTGACATACACCAACAACTTTGCATTGAGGCTCAAAAAAGAATGGAACCTCCTGAAAAATCTGGGTATCCTGTTAAACGAGCGGCTGTAAACACAAAAGCTGCAATGCTCAGCTGCCCAGGAAGCAGCGGCACAGCAACACCTTGCACGCGGAGTGCCCAGAACAAGGCCAAAAGAGCAGCTAGCCATGCTCAAAGCTGAGGCTGCTGCAAGGCGTTGTGCAGCCCATGAGGCTCCATAAAATCTACAAATCTACACGGACAGCTACATTTACATTCTTTCGGAATGGCTGGGCGCGCATCAGCCAATGCAATCAGTCAGATGTGCACGTGGCATCACCTGGGTGTTGTTCTAAGACCCTCTTCTATGGGTTTCCTCTTGGCCGTTTTTTTTTTCCAATGATTTATTTAAAACCTTGCAAACATCCTGGCACGCGGAAGATGTCGAAAGCCCGAGCGGAAGGCGCTTGGTACTATACCAAATATGCGGCGCCAAGGTCTTACGATATGAGACACCACATGCCTGTCAAGCAGGATTCTGAAAGCTTAACAGGCATCGGGGCTCCAGAAACTCAAACATGTCCAGCCCCGCAAAAAGCAGCGTCCTAGGTCGTTTATCCATCCCCCAAGGCCCTCAAACTTAACAGTCCGCCGACCCCGAGGCGGAGATCGTGAAAGCCTAAACCCTAAACCTTGAGGTTTTCCGCGGCTGGCACGAGACCAATCAGCACAACAAGATTACTCCAAGCTAGGCTGCCGGGACTCCGCAGCTTTGCTGTTTTCAGTTGCTGCGTAGGAAATAATCGGTGCAACACGCACGGTTGCCTGGACTGTGCAGGACCAACACTGCATCATTGTTGCAGGCGTGTCCAATCCTTGATGAGAGCCTGGCGTGGGTGGGCCCTGATCAGCATGCTTGACCCTGGGATTTGGGACCGGGTCCCAGGGGTTTGAGGCCGGGCCGCCCTCAGAGGCCTGGGGCCTGGGCCCCCAAGCGCTACCGGCTGGGCAAGGCCATGTCATAGGCAGCAGGGCTACGGTTGAGCCGTTGGACTCCGTCCTGATGGTTTGAGACCATGTGAGTGCAGCAAGGCTTTCACTGGCCCCTGAAGGCTCAACGTAGACTCTCAGTCGGTGGTGGGAGTGCCTATAGACGCTTCATACACACTGTCTGAGTGTGGCGCTTTTGTGGGCTGGACATCAGCTCCCATAGTTGTCACATACGTCCTTTTTAGTACTGTTGTACAGGGTCAAGCCTGCTAATGTTAGTGAAGAGTTTCGACATCAAGCCCTGTGAGGGTCGACTAGCAGCGCTACTCATGCGTGGAGAAGTTGCCAGGGCTAAAGATTAAACCCTAAACCTTGATGTTTCGACGCAACAAGATCAGTTCAAGATAGGCTGCCGGGACTGCGCAGCCTTGCTGTTTTCAGTAGTTGCGCAGGAAATCAATCGACACAACAAGCCAGGTTGCCGGGACCGTGTCAGGACATGTCAGGACCAACCCTGCATTCCATTTGTCCAGGCCTTCATGAGCCTAGCTTGGGGTGGCCCCTGATGAGCATGCTCGGGCACTCCACAGCTTTGCTGTTTTGAGTGGCCGTGCAGGAAGTCCACAACAAGCCAGGTTGCCGGGATGGTGCAGGACCTTTGCAAGATCATTGGCCCAAGAAATGTTGGGGCCAAGGCCCTTGTCCACCCACAAACGCCCTCAACAGCTGGTTTGTCTTCGTTTCAATTTTTTTTGGGGGGGAGCCTGGCAAAGGGATGGGCGTCGGCTGAGACGATTGCCTGGGAGGTGGAGACCTGAAAAGAAACGCAGCCGGGATACCCCCGCCCCGCGTTTTTGCGCTGTCAGGGAGAAAAGAAGAGGGTTCATCCAACACGCCCCCCAAGGTCGGCGGATTTAAGGGCGCCACAGAGCCAAATACGCATTGTGCCAGGTCTTTCATCCATCGCCCTCGCCCTCAAATTGAAAGGCCCCACACCAAATACATATTTTGCAGGTCCTTTCGCCGCCCTTCAAGGCCCTCAAATTAAGGGGCCCCACAAGCCAAATACGTTTCCAGCTCCCAAAAAAGCATCCAGGTCCTCTATCCATCCACATAGCTACCCAACGCGGGGCCCCGCGTGGATCACATTGCATCCCTCACTGTCTAGACGGTGAACTCTCAGGACAAAACTCGAAAATCGCACAGACAGATTCAAAGTGATCAAGCTGTTCTCAGAGTTGATGAGGAAAGCAAATAGATGGGGCGGGCATTTCCTGAGAACTCAAGTTGGTTATCAGATGTTATCAGCCCATTCCGCCAGGAATGTTTCCTCTTGCACAAGGTTGCCCTCTCAACCTGTACACGAACAACAGTGCAGACTACAACCAACAAATGTCAGAGAAGCAGTCAGCCGTCGATTTTGAATCCGCTTTCTTCACACGCCAACAGTCTCATCCGTCTTGCAGATGTGCGAGTCTTTGGAAAAAGTGTTTTTCTTCAGATGCACTGAAACCCTCAATGTGATGGGGTTTGGGTGAACTCCTTCGGCAATGTCTTGTTTGAGCTGTGGGATCTGCTTGTCAAAAGGCTTGTGCTAACCTGCGCAGCAACATCAGCAACATTCAGCAACCAGGAGACGAGAGCAGGCGGCATTGGTTTCGCATCATAGACAGCTGCCTGGTGAGCATTTGTGCCATGTGACACACGGCTCCTGGTTCTGCATGATAATTTCATGGGATTTCATGCGGGCTTGGACAGAATTGGCTTCGGTCTGGGCTCTTATGCCTCGGCAAGCTTAGTAAGGTCTCCTACACCAGCAGACTTGACAATTGTCTGGATCCTAGATGAGCTTCACGCGCAAGCAGCGCGGATATCTTGACAGCTTCGGTTGCTGGTTGGGCACAGCCTCAGGTCAAGGTAGGGGACGGCATGTCATCGTCTCACATTCCAGATGGTCATACCTGGGCGTCTTTCCTGCAACACAGCTGCACGTGGGACCTCTTTGCTTTTGCATGCTTCTAGAAGCCTTCTGGACCCAGCCATTGCGCGTCATCCAAGATCACAGACAAGCACCAGCGATAAAGAGAAAGCTGCTGCCAGATGAGCCGAGTGCACCAAAAGGGCCACAGAAGTATTAGCTCAGGGCGTCGTGTCATGCACAATTTTTACATCCCGACCAGATCAACAGCCTGTATATGTGTGCGTTTAGGATCAATTAGGCTTGCTCCACGTGTGCTTGTGAGCTGCCATGGTGGACAGAAAATTAAAACGGACGGATGATGTTGATTGCTTAAGCTGCCTACGCTGGCTAGCACCGAGGCTGCCTTTGAGGTCTGGAGATCGTTCACCATGTCCTGACGCGTCCCCGCAAAGCTGGGGTCTGCCTCCAGAGATCGACGAAGTGCCTTCAAAAGAGAGGCCTCGAGTTGGCAGCTGGGCATCTCCGGTGCCATCGTTTGCAGCACCGTGGCAGACATGGCAAATGCCGGATCCAAGTGCCAAACCTGCCCAAATCGCACTCCAATCGCTTGACATCAAGCTCAATATAGAGACCGAGTGGACCGAACACTCGATCAGCAAGTCCGTCGCCACTGCCCAGCCCCGCAGGCTCCAAGAAATTGGATGGCTACCAGCAGCTGGCGCAGGAGCAGGCCGGTATTCCCCTCAGCCTGGTTTCATGCTGGAGCAGATCCTGGCATCGCCGGGGAACCTGCCACCTCATGAGGCGCGCAGAGACCGCGTAATGGGTGATGTAGAGAGAGCTCTGGCAGAATTACCCCAGTATACATCCACCAACGAGCGGATCGCCAAATGCCCGCGGCGTCTTCTTACTGAGCGCGGCATTGCTGGACAACGACTTCGACGCGGCATCCTAAAGGGCAGCACCATCGCTTTCATCACCACAGGCTACGAAGGCAAACGCTTCATCTACGAGAAGGCACACGCTCTCGGTGTTCGCTCCATCCTAGTTGACAGTGCAGACTCATGGAGCCGACAACTCGTTGACGAAGGCATTGCAGTGAAATTTCTGCCCATCGACATGTCCCAGTCCTCTGACCAAGTGCTGCAATTTCTGATCAGAGCCATTCGAGACCTGGAGAAGGATCCGAGCATAGGAAAAGTAGATGGTGTGGCCACGTTCGCAGAGCTCTCCGTGCCGCTGACGGCTCGCCTGGCGGAGGCGCTGGGCGTGCCAGGTCCTGCACCCGAGTCCACGGACCAGGCCCGCGACAAGTTCAAAACACGGATGGCGCTTGCACATCACGGGCTTCCGACTCCGCCCGTGTGCGAGATCCTCTCAGAGGCGGACATCGAACAGGCCATCCGCACAGTGGGCTTTCCGGCTGTGCTGAAGCCGGTGCCGGGCACCTGGAATCCTAAATCGGCAAAGGACAGCAGTTGCTATATTTGCTACGTTTGCTGCGGCTTCCAGGTCCGGTGCCGCATCCGTCGGGGTGAAAAAGGCAATTTGCCTCGATCCTTGCATTCTCCCATTCCCCCTACGTCCTACATGTCAGGTTGAAAATGAAGCTGAGTTGAGGTCGGCATACAGTGCAACGGTCTTAAATAGCTCAAGTAATTGAACCGCTGATGCTACGAATGTTTGTTGATCTTCGCGGCAAAGGCCCGCATGCCGAGGCACGACATCATGAACTGGGTTCGATGGTCATCTCGAGTGGGGCTATCATAAAGGACTGCAGGGGCTGAAGCTTCCAGTGTCATTGCACGGTCATTGCCTGGCCTGGTCTCCCAGTGCTTCGTTGGAAGGTTCTGGGCTCAAGAGCTTGATGTAAATGGTGCATTGCAGCTCTATGCATATCGAAATGTCACTGACAAAGATCGTATGCGTGTTGAAGCAGAGCCACGCCTAACAGTGCAGTTTCACCCGTGCGTGTGGCGCAGCACGATGGTCTGGGAAATCCCGCACCCTGCCACGAAGAGAGCAACCTAGATCTCTTCATGGAGAATTTCGTGAAGGACTTCTACATACTTCACTCAGGGAGGCCTGTTGTTCCCGAATGGCTGCGAAGGAGTTCTTGGAGCTACCTGCCAAGTCATGCGATCTACCAGCCTTGCGCGAAGCTTAAACTGTCAAAATGTTTCATCAGAGCCACACTGGAAGCCTCAGGGTGTCGCTAAGAGATGAATGCTCGCTGGGTGCCGTTTCACCGACTTCTGCTTCCACGTCTGCTTCATTGCAGAAGAAGCTTCTGCAGCTGCTCAGCGCAAAGGACAGGAACCATCCAACTCTCAGTCGCATGATCAGGTCTGCCAGATGCTGTATGACAAAGATCTCTGGCTGCCAGTTTAGGCTCTGGCGTGCCTAGACTCCGTCACAAGGACGTGACGGACGAGATCCAGCAGGCCGCAAGCGAAGTCTTTGAAATGCTGGAACAGAAGAATGCGACTTTCGCCGCCACTTGGCCGGGCATGGGTGCCGAGCTTCTGGCAGTCGGCCATTTGCCTACTTTGTTTCTCTTGTTCAAGGCTGAGACGGGGCTCTCTGATGGGACGGCCTCGCATGTGTTGGAGGTGACCAGTTCCAATGACATGAGAGTCTGGTTTGAAGGTGCCGCCTTCTGCTTCTGCTATGCGTGAGCATGACGCTGAATGTTGCGGTGTGTTGGGCTAGAGGCCACGCTCCTGAGCTGCTGGCAGGGACCGAGGGATCAGCGTGGCTTTGCTTGACAAAGCACATCGCTTCTACTTGGCTCAGTCCCAAACAGTTGGTTTGTTTCTGCCGCTGCTCAGGCTGACCTGCAGAACCCTTCGATGTACATTGCGCAGCTGCAAAAAGCAGGAAAAGATTCGAAACCCGATTGCCAACACTGTGCAACTACGATCCAAGTATCACATGTTCAATCTGCATGGACAGGTAGCAGAAGAGTCAGCTGTGGCAAATTCGTTCTCGTGGAAAGGCTTGCATGGTACCGCTGCATCAGCTTTCGATACTGCTGTTCCCAGGTATCCCGGGTCGCAGCTGTTGGCAAAGCTTGTTCTGAGCTGCCCAGAATTGGTTGCTGGAAAAAGGGTGTTGGAGATCGGGGCCGGGTACCATGGCATCCCAGCTATGGCTGCTGTCATTTCGCAAGCCCGCGCAGTGGTAGCCACTGACGTGGATCCAGTGGCGCTGCATCAGCTCCGCCTGAACCTCGCAGATGTCTTGAATGGTCACATTGCTGATGCGTGGGACCGGGATAACCAAACAGACAAAATGGCCATCATGGCCAAGTTCGTTGACAAGTCTCTCTAGACAGCTTGTGTCTGCTTGTCCGAGGACTTTCAGGAGTTGGCCGAGACGAACGGCTTGTGACTAAGATCTGTGCTACAGGCCGTGCAGAGATGCCTTGGGGCCTTAGCCTGAGTCAGACACGGAATGCCGAGGTTGTCTCGATGGAGCTTGGGTCCTCCGACTAGACTGGCTGGCTTTGCCCAATGGTGCTCCCTTGTTCGAGGTCTGATGCATTTACTTTACATACTTACGCTATCTTGGCATCGCTGGCTTTCAGGTGATCCTTGCTTCCGAGATCATCCATGAACGATGGATGGGGCCGGCGGTCTTGGACGTGGTCTCGCACTTCCTTGAGCCAAGCGGAGTTGCCATAATCATCAATGCAGACAGCTACCATCGAGCTCCGACGGCACTTATGTTGCCCATGTAGCAGGGCTGATTCAGACACTGTATTGTTACTTCATGAAGGCTTTGGCGCAGAAGAATTCCAGCAACTGCTCCCTAGCTGCAAACTGCTTGGAACGATTGCAATTGCAATTGGTTTCAGTATCCACTCCTTCCTCCAACTGCCCTGAAAAGCTGCCGAACTGCTGAGACTTACAGACTCAGTCGAGCAGAGCAGATCTTGCAAAAGTGCCGGGTCAAGATCCCAAGGCAGCTGCGTCAGTACAGTTTATATTGCATTGCATGCAACCACTGAAGAACATGCAAGGGCAAAGTAGGCTCTGCCTTGGACATTAGGAATCTCTGGCGGATGCTTCCAGGTCAGCGGCGTGGCCTCAGGCGGGTTGCACAAAGAAAGCAGCTTCTCATGAATGGCATAAAGCTGATCTTACTTGATGCGAGCTTCGATGAAAGCAAGAAAGCGGATTCACACGCTTGTGATGGGGTCCCTCTTCAAACTAACGGTGTCATGCTGGCAAACCTGTAGCAGCTGCTTGAAGCATGCTGAAGCGTTGCCTGCAGGCAGCGTTGACTGCGAGGATCTGGCATATGACTGTTATGTTCTGCGGGCTGCGGACGCGCGAAAGGAGATAGGGACAACAGGCAAAAGTTGAGCACCTATCGAGCGCGGCTCGGCCTGGACACTCCTCACGGATCACCAGGGAGAGCATGACAGAGCTATGGAAGCAGGACTTCTTCTTTCCTTTGCGCTCTTCGATTCTTCGATGCTGTGCGTTACTGCATCAGAGATCGCAGATCTTCTCATTTGGAAGTCAGTTGGTTGCTGTTCGCATCGGACGCAGTGTGGGAATCTGCATTGGTTTTTGCCGAGCTGGTCAAGCTCCTCAAGAGCTATGCCATGGCCATCGCAAGTCAGGAGGACATTTCCATCAAGCGTGTGCCCCGAACCACGCTGCAGCAAGACTGACCCGGCACGCTGCTGCAAGTAATGAAAAATGGTTGCCTTGGGCGTGCTATCAGTTCCGCTGTGATTGAAGCCCGCCAGGATGATGGACAACAAGGCCTGCCTCACGTCTATAGAGTCGCAGAGGACTGTTTCTTCAAACCCTGGGTCAGGTGCAGCTGTAGGTGCCAGTGCGGTGATCGGTGCGCGCTTTGTACTGGAAAGTTATCTTGATGGCGAGGAGGCGAAGCTGCATGCAACTGCCTAGAAAGTTTCCTGACAGACCTGTAAGCATCTAGTCACAGGTGGATGTGGATGTGGTTATGTCAGATGGCGAATGGCAGTATGCCGCAGTGTCTGACAACGGTCCCACGTCTGCGTCTCACAGCTTAGTCTGCGAAAACGCGCGAAGACACAGCTTCAACGTGATGCCTGAGGTTAGAACCGTACTTCAACGAGACTTGGGCAGTTTCTCCATCTCTTCTGCTGCTTCCTGAGACGTCTGATGCATCTAGTGCAGCAAATTTTTGAGGCAACAGGCCCAACAGGCTTATCTCATTGGAGAACGATGAGAGACCAGCTATGAGGAGCTATAGAAGCCTTCAGCTTCAGACAGCACGATGGGCATAAAGAAGGCAACGAGCGCTGCTGATACTGATTCTGTATGCGAGGCCTCGTGAGAAGCAGCTGGCCCTGCGTGAGCTGGCGGTCAGTAGCGTCAAGGCAGGAGGACAGAGAAGAATCTGTGGTTTTCAACGGACTGGAGTTGCTCAAGAGCGAACGTGTCAGGCACTGGGCTTTCAGGAGATGCGCGCAGTGTGCCACTGCAAGCGTAAACCAAGCGGCCCGCCGGGCCATTGATCATTTTGCAATATCTTGCGGTGGGAGGATGGCATCTTCCATGTGGAGCTCAAATACACCAGCCAACATGGAGCTCAACTCATTGAGGCAGATTCTGCCAAAATCTGGTACATGTCTTTCTAGGTGTAACAAGGCAAACTTTGCCTTGTTTACCGAGGTAAACGCCCGTATGGGTGGCTGGCCTGTGTTGCTTGTTGCCTGTTGCTGCATGGATTCTGGTTCTGGCCCAAGGTGGCGGGCCAGTGTATTCCACGAACCTGAAGACTTGGGGGGTCCAACCAGCACGTTTGAAAGCTGAAGGCCTGCGCAACAGTTTCCCAAACATCCTTCCCAGGTGGATCTCGTAGAAGAGTCTTGCCGACACTTTTGATCACCGTCAGCGAGAAAGCTCGAGGAATTTTGTCATGCCAGGACTTTGTTTTGCGTTGCTGGCATCCCTTCGCGGCCAGCAGCTACCAGGATCCTCTGCTACTTTGGCTCATGCAATTTCTAAGCCCGTGGCAGAGACTGTGAGCCGTTTCTTGCTACAGCTTCCACGTGGAATGGCTTTGGCTTAGCCTGCAGATGTGATTTAGTTCTCAGGAAGCCGATGGAATGCATCGCAAATGCGGATGTCCCTGCCTTGGTGCCCTCAGCGCTGACAGCAGTTGCGTCAATACATGGCCCGCCTGCGCAGACCATGCAGAGGTGAATGCACTACGGTCTGGAAGGCCGTGTGCCCTCATCTCCGCAACATGCTTTTACTTCATGAGCGGGATGCCAGGTTAGCTGACCTCAGCTTCATGAAACCCCTGCTGGACCGTGAGGGCGTTGTGTCGCTTGATCCTGAGGAGGTTCTTGCCAAGTTTCGCGCTTCCTCTGGTGCGGATGATGCCGTTAATCTGGATGCGTTAGTTCAAGAGCAAGTGAGCAGCGCTCCGCGGTAGCCTTCCCTTGAGCATGAATAAGTCCATCATCCGATCAAGCATGATCAAACTACTCAGTCATGTTTTGTTCCTCTCCAAAAGCAAAGGAAGTGCATGCTTTCTCGGATGACAACAATCTCCGGATTCGATACTGACTGTGCCACTTCTTTCCATATATGCACAATGCATGTCGCAGAACTCAGCTGTTTTTGAATTTGTCTCGGCGTATGTGGCAGTACCGCAACTAAGAGGCCTTCTGTGGGTTGTTTGGGATTCTGGCGTTGGGGCATCTATTCAAGAGCCCTCATGCGCCATGCAAATGCTGGTGTATTTGAGTTTAGTTCGCTTTTCAGATTTTGAAGCAAGGACGCCTGGTGCTTCTGCACAACAGCCCCAGAGACCAGGAAGCCAGATTTTTGAAAGAGATTCTCAAATCGGTGCCCTCAACGCAGCCAAGCAAATTCTCGTGCAATTGCACAGCCTGCGTCGTCAACTTGTCGGGATCACTGCCTGCCGCATCAAAGTCCACCCATGGGTGTCCACAAGGCATGAAATTGATGGTGGAGACTCCATCTCCCAGAGGTATAGCTCTTCCCAAACTGAGACAGGGCACTCATGAGGAATTTCACATTCGGGCTGCCTTTGGGCTCGTTGTCCTTGTCGTAATTAGGTGTTGCCCTTTCCTGGAAAATACAGTGCTGCGTGGAAAAGAGTCCATCCTTTGCCTTGCCGAAATTGTGGCCATATCCGCGGCAACGGCATGAGCTTGAAGCGACTGAGTGATCAACTCAACCCCATGCATCCTGGCAAGGGTGGGTTGGAAGGCAGTACTGCCAGCTGCCAGCAACTGCATGGTTTCAAGGAAAACTGGGCTTAAAATGCTTCCCCTAACGGTCCAACAGATGCAGCCGGCTTTCAATAAGCTGCAATACCAGAACGACGTTAGCGCTATCGGTTTCTCCGTGTCCTCTCTCTCTGGCAGGAGAGGGTACCCCACCACTGCTGATGATAACGTCCATTTGAAGCTTGGTTTGGCTGCTGGAAGAACTACGTGCAACTGAAGGCTTCCTTCCGCAACAGCCCAAACGTCCAATCTCGTGGCAAGCGTTCGCAAACGTCATTAGTTCATCAAAGGCTTCCTGATGCGCCAATTTTACCAGTGATGTGTGTTTCATGGATGCAGCGTCCTCGTGGGGACATGCCAATTGTCGATGACTGATGTGTGACAACCCCGCCGCTTGCAGCTTGTACAAACCAGCCTCTAGCTGAGACAACAAAACCCTGAAGGGTCACAACAGCCTACATTTCGCGAAGCACAGGCGAAAATGCTTGTGGCCACCAGCATCACGTCACAGATCGCTTCTACAAGTACCTGGCAAATGATGCCATCATGTCCATGCTCGCGTGATGGAGATTGTCGACACTCGTGTTTTGGCACTTGCAGGAAGAGCAACACCAGGTTTGTGTTTGCAATGAAAATGATCAGTAAACGATCAACGTTAGCGCCCCAAGTTTCAAAGCGACCCCAAGTTTCATCACCATGTGGCTGTGATGGGCAGAGCACACCCTCCGATCAAATTCCTTGTGCAACTCATTTTCGAAGTCTTCGAAGACGCTTAGATCCTCGCAGCTTGGAGATGCCTGAGGCACAACTGCCATGTTAGAGAAGGGGAAGAGGTTGTGGGGCCCCAGGATGGTGCGAATCTCAAGCTTTGGCAAGTGAGGGACAGCCCAGTGCAATGTTCCCAAGACCGAGGTTTGCCGACCTGGCTTGTGGAAGTTGTTGTTTCTAAGCCAACGCCGCGTGAGGCCAGCTGGCAAAATCATGATACACCTTGCGAATCTCATGGCCTGCAATTCAAGGCACTCGACTTCCTCTTGAAGCTGGAGGTCTTCCTGCAAATTCTGCGTGCTTACGCTTGTGCAACTAGCTGTCAAGCATGGTGCTTGCAGCAACGTCGCAGGCTGAGATCCAAAAGTTGGTAAGACTGTCGTAGTGCAGGCCAGGGGACAGGGGACCACATGTCAGTGAAGCCTCATCTACGCATGACTCCCAGCAGATAGCTGGCAGGTGGAGCCAGCACGTGGCTAAACAGCCTTCGGCTTGACCAGACCAGACAGTTTCTGACGCACAGAGACGTACGCGTCGTCTTGAAAATTCCGAATTCGCAGGAATTTGGATTTTCCTTTTGCTTACAAAGCCAATTACTTTCGCTGATGATTTCAGAGCAGCTGCATTAAGCAGCTGCACTCTTCGACCAGCAAAGATCATGTCAGCTTTGTACTTGCCAAGTGAAATGCTTGCACGGCGCACGCACGTCACGCAGCTTAATTACTCCATCCATTTTGCATATTTTCAATCGTTTGCCGGCAAGGTGTGCAAGCAAGACAACTTGTTTCAACCATTTTGTTAACTTGTGATGGCTGGGTCGAGGGTCCTGCCTTCATTTGTCCATAATCTCCAGGCACCAGGGCCTCCCAGCTCATTTTAGGGCCATGGTGCAGTCCCTCTTTGAGGACTGCGTCGTGGACGCTGCAACAGGACTATTGAATAGTTTTCGCTTTTGCAGCTGTCGTCGGGTTGCTTCGACGGCCTGAAGCGTGCATTTTTGTACTGCGCCGCTTCAATCATTTGAGGTAAAACGGCTGGTTTACCATGATGTTAGGTTTGTGGACTGAGATTTCTGGCTGCCATAGCTATTTGCAATGTTTCTGGCTTGTTATCAGAGAAGGTTCAGGTTATAGTCTGACCCTTTCTTCCAGCCACACTGCCACACATGCTACACATCTTTTCAGTTCAGCCGTGCTTTCTGATACCGTGGTAGAATGGCTCTCTCGAAGCCATGGCAATGTTGGGATAATGTCCCGGAGCTACATGGAGCCATTCTGGAATGGCTGCAAAGCCGGCTGTCCAAAGACTTCACGAGGGAGTATCAGCTTCACCTGATACCACTCCTCAAACAACTCGCCGTTCTTCCCCGTCCTCCTCATTTTTGTCCGTGCCGGTGATCAATGAAGAGATCACAGATTTGGCTCTAGTGCCGGTCCTAGGTCATGCTGGGCATTCGACTGCACGGGGGAAGGGTGTGCGTCACGTGTGGTTTGCCAACACGCACGGCAAAATGACTGCAAGGTACTCCAGGTGATGGCATCCGAGCCGGATGATGAGCGTGCCTGCGCTGAAATTACTGGTAAGGTGATGCTTGCAGGTTTGGGACGTGAAGCGTGTATTCACCCAAGGCTTACAGCGAGCATGTTTGCAGGCGGTAAATCGTCTGGCCAAGGACCGTAGCAGTTCTTGACATTTCTTGACACAGCCTGTCCCTGCAGCAACGTTGACCACTCCAGTCCCCGGACCAGGATGTGTCCAGGCTGCGACCGCTGTGCCTGGGGGCCGTGTCAGCCATTGCCACGTCAGCAGCATCCATGTCGGAACCCAAGCTTGCAAGAAGCTGGCAACAACAGAACAGGACGTTAGAACCTAGAAAGTGGTGTCCAACTGGCTGCGAGGCGTCAAAGCGTCCACGTGCAGAGAATAGCAGTAGCTGCGCTTAGCAGCTTGAATCCCAGAGCCGAAGTGTCTGCGTTTGATGACAACAGGCCTGAAAGCAGTTGCCAAGGTGTGGCATATGTACAGGATGTGGCCACCTTGATTGCACCATTGGCCCTTCCCATAGTGCTGGAGGCGGTTCAATGTGTATCTCTATGCCGGAAGTTGCATGACCACACATAGCAGACATAGCGGAAACTGGAAGGCTGCCTTGGCTCATCCCAGTGACTCCAAGTTGCAGGGGCTGATGTGCGAGGAGATCTCCAAAGAAAAAGCAGTAGAACAGATCCAACGAGAGCCTAGAATTCTTTCGAGCATCGGGAGGCGTTCGCGCGACTGGCGCAAGGAGGTGGGGAGCGCGCCATGGCCCATGGCTTGGTCTCTGTGTATCCAAGCTGCGGAGATGGCATGAGATACTTGTAGCATGGTTACTTGCCAAGGTGAAGTGCATTGTGGCTTCCCTCATGATCCCCGATGTTGCAAGCTTCTCATCGATTCCTACTCTGCTAGGGCTGCTAGAAGCGAGCTGTGCATAAGAGTGCTCAACCCTGAGAAGCAAACATGATTTCAGGCACTGCAGGTGCTGTGCGATTCGCTGCAGAGGCAGCCCCTTGTCGGTCAGTAGTCCTATGTTGGTGAACCCGCCAGCTTGCAAAGGTTGTGCGAGAATGGAATCTGTCGCGGCACCTAGGGTTTTCTTTCAGTTTGGTGTGATGTTCAGTGTGAATCAGCCCAGGTCTTTGCATCTCAGCTGAGGCCGCCCAGCCCAAGTCGTCGACGAACTTCTGCATCTATGCGACAGGGATCCTGCGGATCTGGAGTTGCCGGGATCTCTGGTATCTCTGCACTGCAAGCCCTCAAGGAACCTCAAGAAACTGGAGCTGCTGGCGCTAAGCCACGGAGCTCACATTGTTGTAAGCAACTGTCCTGAGACACCCAACATCATTAGCGGTGTTTGATGTAAACTGCTGGTTTTTTCCTTTAGCAGCTCCGATTAACAATTGCGATCACAGACCCTGTACATTCGCCCCAGCTGTTTCACGCGTGCATACGGAACTGTGTGCATCGTTCTTGGCAAACAGAACTAAGTCTGCCAACAGTTGTGAACAGCCCCGTTTACATAACCTGTTGATTTTAACATCGCTTTCTACCCCTAGAACTTTTTCATCAAGCAGAGTTTTTCATGTGAAGCGGTTTGTTGAATATGGGCGAATCTGGGCAGTCCTGCTCAGTTCAAACATGTTTGAACAGCTTTGTTCATCCGGCTTTCAGAGAATCTGCAGCCGAGGCAACGGCAAGTGTCCTTGTGTATGCAGAGGCCGCTCGAGTGTGCTGTTTGAATGTAAATTGTAGCTGCTGTAAGCGCGGCTTCAATCAATCGAGTGTGTTGAGAATTCCAGGCCGCAGAAGTGCCCATGACCAGCTCATGTAAAGTGGGATGTGTCGTTTCGGCCATGGTTTGGGTGCCCTCTAGCGCTTGCTTGTGTTTGCCCAACGTCGCTGTCCAGAACTGCGCGGTGGTGTACTCTGCTTGTCTTGAATGCAGCGTTGCAGGAGTGCAGACGCAAGTTCGCATGCATTTGAGTCTGGCCGTGATCGTTCCATTGTGGGATCAAACGCTCCCCAGCTGTGTTTAGCTTCCCTCCCAGACCCAGCCTGGGAATTTCTTCCTGGCACCTTTGGATCGAGCTGACCCTTTGCATAAAAGACTTCCCAGAGTGAGTGGCTGCATGATCTTTCCTACCATGCCAGTGTATTCGTGTCTATCAAGTGCCATGCTAACCCATGTCACGAAGGCCCCTCGTGAGCAGCAGCTTTGGCGATATACCCTGAACTCTCAAGTCTTTCGTTGTCGTGCAGCTGTCAAATGTTGGATTTGGTTCAGTTGTCCAACACCAGTGGGTTGGGTGGTGTCCCTTGATTGTGGTCAGTGCAGTCGGAGCCGAGCTTCGCTACAGCCTTTGACGGTCCATTCAGCTCTCATGCTAACGAGTCTAACAGACTGAAGGTGAAGTTTGCTCCTCCGCGTCGGATAAAAGGGCAGAGTCTTGATCACCACAAGGTTCAAGTGATGCAGAGGTTACGCCAGACCTGCGGGCACCGAGGTGTTGATGGAAGTGTGCTTGCATTGGGCAGGGATGTGCGGATACTTCAGTCTCATCCGTCAAAACTCAACTGAAAGGGAGTTGCACGGAGTTGAGCTTCAATGACAAACGCAGCATTGTTTGCAATTGCCTTAAAAGCCTTCAAAGAAAGTTTCGCGGAACCCATGAGGTGAATCTTCACGTAGAAGCGATCGATACCCTTCCTTGGATAAGATTAACTTGGAGCGTCGGGGGCCACAGCAACTAGCTTTTAGATGGCAGCATCACTGCTAGGCTTAGATGTGTGTCTCCCACGGGCATGGAACTGTCCGTGTGATTCCAGCTGTGCGTGTGCAAAGCACGGGGAGTCGGCTATGCAAAGTCGTCATGCCTCCAGACTTCGTTGGGAGTGGTGCAGTGTCGTGACCTGAGCAGGTTGCTGAATGTTGGCGTAATCAGTCGCGCCCTAGGCTTAGCTTCACAAAGCAGACCCGTGATTTTCACAGTGCGTCTGGTAATGGCTTAAGAAATACTGCACAGAGCCACCTGCAAGAAGTGGCAGTGAGAATTGATATTTCTGACCGCCCCTTCGCCGGCTGCCAGGCTTCTGCCGGAAGCCAACGCAGTACTTCTCGGCCAAGTTTGCGATTGCACATCAAGCTTGTAAGCCCTTAAATCACTTCCACCCCTTTCAAGAAGCCTTGGGTCGTAAGAGGATGGAACTGTCGTCTTTAGAGTCCAGGACTCTGAGCCAGAGGTATTACCATGACAGGAAATGTTTTACAGTGACTGGTTCTCATTTTACAACGATTTCTGAGCCTCTTCTCCACAATAGATCAAAATAGGGCTTGGGAGCCGTAAATTTGGCGCTATTAGCCCTGAAACACACCGAAAACATGGCTCCCAAGAGCCGCATTTTTGGGCTGTTTAGGGCTTAATAATGCCAAAAATACGGCTCCCGTCAATTTCGTAGCGCCCTTATGGCTCCCAGCTCCCACGGGAGCCGCATTTTTGGTCCTATTAGGCCTTAAATGGGCCAAAAATGCGGCTCTCGCGGGAGCCGCATTTTTGAAGCTATTAGGCCTTAAATGGGCCAAAACTACGGCTCCTGCGAAAGCCGCATTTTCGGTCCTATTAGAGCTTAAATGAACCAAAAACACGGCTCCCGCAGGAGCCGTAAGTTTGGTCCTGTTCGACCTTAAATGGGCTAAAAATACGGCTCCCGCGGGAGCCGCATTTTTGGTCCTATTAGGGCTGAAATGGACCAAAAACACGGGAGCCGTATTTTTAGTCCTAGTAAGCCTTAAATGGGCCAAAAATACGGCTCCTTAGGCTTGATAGCACCGAAAATTCGGCTTCGCGCATGAAACTGCACCCCTCAGCCCTTGTCATGCCTAGAATTGCGAAACCAATCGTGGTAAAATGGTTTTGTGTTGTGGTAAACAGAGTGCCTTTCTAATCGTGGTTATACCCCCTCCTCAT